GGGGGGGGGGGGGGGGGGGGGGGGGGGGGGGGGGGGGGGGGGGATCAACACGGGGCCGGCACTGGTCAGGGGGAAGAGTGAGGCGGAGTGTGTGATTGGCAGGGGAGCCAGGATGAGTGAGAGTGTTTCAATATAGAGCTGGCACGGGTGAAGGGGAGATGTGTGAGAGGGGAAGGGGAAGAGTAGGGGGAATGGAGGAGAGGGAGGCAGGTGGGGAAAGGGGGAGAGAGGACAGCCCATCTCCGATAGAGAGAGGGGATGGGTGAGCGGAGGAAGGAGAGGGATGGAGAAGGGGCAGTGGAGGGAAAGGGGAAGGGCAAGTGGGGAGAAAGCGTGGGGATGGAGGAAGAGAGGGTATGTAGACAGTGTGGATGGGAACAGGGAGAGGAAGTGCCGTAGAATGAGGCAGAGAATCTGAAACCGATTGGAATCTTGCATCAGTGACTGTGTGGAGGGAAAGGAAAGTGGAGTATAAGATTTGATCCATGTTGATGGCCTTGTGGGTCAACCAGCTGTTTGAGCAATGGACCTTCTCAGAGAGAGGCAGTTCCGTACCCTGGTGAAGAGGTAAACTGCAAGTGGCATCCTGGGGGGGTGTCAGGGAAGAACAATGTAAACATAGTTAGGAATTGTCAGCCAGGGAGAAGAACTGGAGTGCACATGGTGACCCTGGGCTCTGGGAAAGGCAATCTTGGGGGAGAAACAGGGATGGTATGGTGAGAAGAGTCTCCTGTTATAAAGACCAGCATTGACTTGTTGAGTGAATAGCCTGTTTCTGTGCTTTACTTGACTTCAGCATTAATGTCTGCGGCTGTACTGTTGTCTTGTTCCTGTGTTTCCTGCAGCTGTTGCATCTTAATTTTTAAAAAAAAAAATTCCATTAAGAATCCTGGTTTAAGCAAAGTCCATGCATTGCTGGTTCGAGGTAATGATATTAGACTGGGTACTGGGGAATAGTAATTTCTGGCATTTAACTGGAAAACTATAGGAAGACTGAGATAGTAGGAACTGCAGATGCTGGAGAATCCGAGACAACAAGGTGCAGGGCTGGACGCAAACAGCAGGCCAAGCAGCACCATAGGAGCAGAGAGGCCTTTGAGGACTTGTCATGCTAAAGTTCACCTCCGGGAGCAGGAGTTCTTCTGTGACAGAGTCATTGAATCTATATTTCAATACAAGGAAGGCACAAAGGAAGTTTTTTTTTAGACAACATACTGCAAGCTTGTGATGTGGGGGAAAAGCATGAGAAATAGAAGGAAGGGTCTTGACCCGAAACGTCAACTTTTCTGCTCCTCTGCTGCCTGACCTGCTGTGTTCATCCAGCTTCATACGGTGTTGTCACCAACTCCAGCATCTGCAGTTCTTGCTATCTCTGAGGAAGCATAGGCCACATGCCCTGCAAACTATTCGGTAAACTCGTATTTGATTCACAACCAGCGGTCACTGTTTAACAATATGGGCTAGGCCATTTGAGAAGAGAGTAGTGAGCCTGTGGAGTTAACTGCCAGAGAACAGTTGAGGCCACAACATTTGCTGTTTTCAAGGAGGAGTTAGATATAGTCCTTGGGGCTAAAAGGATGAAAGGGTATGGGGAGAAAGCAGGAACAGGGTTTGAGGAGGCTGAAACAAAAGTAGAAATTGCTGGAGAAACTCAGCAGGTCTGACAGCATCTGTGGTGTAGAAAACAGAATTAAACAGAACTGATGAAGAGTCACTAGACTTGCATTGTTAACTCTGCTTTCTCCCCACATGCTGCCTGACCTGCTGAGTCCTCCAGCATCCACAGTTCTTTGTTTTATTTATGCAAGGTGACTGATTTTGCTGATCCACCATGATTATGTTGAATGGTGGAGCAGGCTCGAAGGACCAAATGGCCTACCCCGCTCCTGTTTTCTGTTTGCCATTCCATCTCCTGCTCTAATCCTTGATTTTTCTCTTAGGCTTATGAGCAAACAAATCAAAGTCTCAAACATGCTTAATGGCTGAACTTCCACAGCTGTCTTGAGTAGGGAGTTTCAAAGCTTCTTCACTCTCCAAGTGAAGAAATTCCTCCTCATCTCAGTTATAAGTGGTCAACCATTTATGGTAGGATGACAATCCATAGTTCCTGACTCTCTAGTTGGGAAAATTGACCACGCCAGCATCATTGTATGAGGGGAGGGGTTTATCCAGGGTTTTGTTTTCACAGCAGCCTTGGTTCAAATGAAATGCCTTCTGTTTGGCCTTTGCTGTGGAATGTTGTTTCAAACCAGTTGCTGAGCTAACAATTTCAAATGGAACATTGGTCCTGAAATGTTGACGTGACTGTCCTGTGGGTGTGGAACCAAGCAGCAAGAGTGAGGGAAAAGATGAAGCAATTCTTCTGCCTTTCCAGATTCATCACAACTATGACAGAGTCCCAGAATTGCCGTTTTTTTTTTTTGTCCATTTTTTATTACTTCATGGGTTAAGAATGTCATTGGCTAGGTCAGAATGTAATGCATGTTCTTAATAGGCCAAAAGGCAAAGGTCCACCACATCGTTTTGGACCTGGGTCACGTGAGAATTGTGGCAAAGCCAGCTTTCGTTCCAAATTTTTGTTAAAATCAAATTTCCCTACCTGCCATGGTGGGATTCAAACACACTTCTCCAGAATGTTAGGTCAAGGTTCTGGATTACTAGTCCATTGACACTAGCACTACACCACAGTCCTTTTGAGTGAAAGAGCTGCAACTCTCAACTGCTGCAGGTGTACGTGAGTTGTGTTGATCTTTGCAGTGAATGGAAAAGCAAAATCTTAGGTTCAAGTATCCCCAGAGAACAGTCAATCAACAACCGCATCTCCCGAAGAGCATTTTTATCAGCCTCTAGTCTGGTCACAACCTGCTTTATGTACCAGGCTTCCAGTAGATTCAGTGCTACTTTGAGTTGGTTAAGGCTATGCTTATTTGGACACATGGCTGTAATTTACACGTTGCAAATAGATTCCTTATAAGAATTGATCTCAGTGGATTGGCTGATTGTTATGGTTATAGCATAGAGCCTCAAACTTCCCTTTATAACATCTTCGTGAAATGTTGTAGGATACTTCACAAGGAGCAGTTATCCTTATGTGGTTATGTTCTATTTGATATGTTAGAACAGCTTAGTCAAAGAGGTAGATTTTTCTGAAGCTTATTTAAAGCAGCTGAAATTTAAGGAGCATTCAGAGTCCAGGGCCATAGAAGTGAAGGTAGGGCTAGCAATGATAGAGCGATCAAAAGTTAGGGATGCACCAGGTTTAGGAGAGTTGTTTGTTATTTGTGGTAATCTGTATATCATCCAGATTTGAAATTTTCTTAAAGATTCTGTGATTTTTGTCAATTACTGTATATCTAACCTAACAATAATCAATTTTTGAACAGAGACTTCAATTGGGTATCTTGCTGGTATTGACTGTTGGTACAAGTTCATCTCTGGTCACTGTTCAAGACAGCGCAGTGTGTTTATTCAATCATGCACTTCACAAGTTTGCTGCGTATTCTGGTGTGCAGCTGTTGTGGCACTGAATATCATTTTCAGAGATGCAGCAGTGGGGGTTGAAGTCCTATGGGAAAGGTAGTTAAAAACACAAACAGTAGTGGAGTTGTTGCCTGGATTAGAGACCAACAACGCAACAATTGCTTGGTCTTTTTGGAGGAGTGACTTTCAGCAGCAATGTTACAGCATCTGCTACACTGGTCTCTGAGCCCTTGGATGAAGGAAGAGAAAATGGTGTCAGGTTCCTATTCCGTGTTTCCTTGCTGGAAATGAATGATGTGGGAAAGGATAAGGATGTGTGAACCTCATTTGTAACCCTTGAGTATCAAGAGGAAATCTGGTTTTGAGGAGTTTATTGTAAAGGGATGTTTGAACAGCGCTGGTCGAAGGAAACATGTAAACCTATGAAATTGGAGCAAAGATAGACCATTCAGCCCTTTGGGCCTGACCCATTTAATAAGATGATAACTGAACTATTTGTGTTTCGAATTGCATGTTTCCATTCATAATCACCCTTATTTTCTCCCTGCCTACCAAGAACTTATCCAGCTTGGTCTTAAAAATATTCAGTGAAGGATCAGCCCTTTAGCCCCTGCATCTGTTTTATCTTTCAGCTGGATCATGACCTTTCTCTAGGCTCCATCTAATCATCTTGGTTCCACATCCTTTCAGATCATTGACCAGCTTTTTCTGGGGTTGGGGAGAGTTCCATATTTCTATTACTGTTTGAGTGAAGAATGGCGTTATGACATCCCTCTTAAAAGGGCTACCGCTAATTTTAATGTTTATAACAATGGATTTAGGCATTTGTTCTTCTCCAAACAAATCAATTCTGCCTTATTGCATCAAACCGTAAAGGTGACAGTTTGATGCTCAGATGGTTGTTTAAATGTTAACCTTGGATCTTGTGGCTATAGATTTAGCTTGATCCCTACTCTTGAAGTTAAAATAAGTCATCTTGGTTGGTCTAGAGAGTGCCCTACCATCTTATTGATGAGCTATTAAACCAGAGCACATTCTTAGCTTTTGATTGATTTTATTTTTGTCACGTGTACTGGAATACAGGCAGATGGTCCCACACAAAGTGCATCAGGGTAGTAGCAGAACAGTGTAGAATAGCGTTACAACTGCAAAGAAAATGCATAGAGAGAGTTAACATTTGAGAGGCCCATACAAAAGTCTGATAACAGTGGGGAAGAAGCTGTTCTTGAGAATCTATTTGTACGTGTACTCAAACTTTTATATCTTTTTGCCTGACAGAAGAGGGTAGAAGAGAGTATAGCCAGGTTGGGAAGGGTCTTTTATGTTGGATGCTTTCCCGAGGCAGCAGGAAGTATAGATGGAGTCAATTGATGGGAGGCTACTTGGTGTGATGGACTGGGCTGTGTTCACAACTCTGTAGTTTGTTGCGGTCTTGGGAAGAGCAGTTGCCATACCGTGCTGAGCTGCATCCAGATAGGATATGTTCTTTGCACCTATAGAAATTGGTAAGAGTCTTTGTGGACATGTCGAATTTTCTTAGCCTCCTGTGGAAGTAGAGCCATTGTTGTGCTTTCTTGACTGTCAAATCAATGTAGGTGGACCAGGACAGATTGTTGATCATTGCTCCCAGGAACTTGACACTCTGGACCGTCTCCACCTCTGCACCATCAATGCAGATGGTTGTGCCTTCCACTCCACTTCCTGAAGTCAATGACCAATTCCTTTGTTTTGCTGATGTTGATGCAGAGATTGTTGTCTTTACACCATGCCACTAAGCACTCAATCACTTTCCTGTACCTCTGTCTCATCATTGTTTGAGATCCGACCTACAACGGTAGTGTTGTCAGCAGACTTGTAAATGGGTTTGAGGCGGAGTTTGGCCACATTGTCGTGAGTGTATAAGGACTATAGTAGGGGGCTGAGTACGCAGCTTTGTGGGGCACCTGTTTTGAGGATTATGGTGGAGGAAGTATTGTCACCTGTTCTTACTGATTGCATGCTGTGGGTTAGGAAGTCAAGGATCCAGAGGCAGGAGCTGAGACCTAGGTCTCAGAGTTTAGAGATGAGTTTGTTTGGAATTATGGTGTTGAAGGCAGAGTTGTAGTCAATATATTGGAACTTGACATAGGTATCCTTGTTATCCAGATGTTCGAGATGTACAGGGCCAGGGAGATGGCATTTGCTGTGGACCTGTTGTGCCAGTAGATGAATTGCAAAGAATCAGGCAGTTTGGTAGGTTGGACTTGATGTGAGACGTGACTAACCTCTTGAAGCACTCCATAATTATGGAGGTCAGAGCCACCAGGTGGTAGTAATTGAGACATGCTGCGTGATTTTTCTTTGGCACTGGGATGATGATGGTCTTGAAGCAGGTGGGGACTTCACATAGTAAGGAGAGGTTAAAGTTGTCTGCAAATACTCCTGCCAGCTGGTCTACACAGGTTCTGAGTGCACGGCCAGGGCCTCCATCTGGGCCAGTCGCTTTCTGTGAGTTCACTCTCAGGAAGGCTGATTTAACGTCTGCAGTGATGCATCTGAGGCTGTTGGGATAGGTATCATCACTTAACTGGAGCAGGAGAATTCTCTATCCCAGCCAATCTATCTGTCAGCTGACATTAGATATGTTTACCCTCAGAAAGCGAATTGAATTGTTCAGCTATCACACAATTCTTATGTGATTCTCCTGGCGTTGGAAGCAATCCTGGGCCACAGATCTGTACGTTCCTTGGCAACAGGCCTGTGATTGCAGAGCTGTTCATTTCTCCTTTTGTTATTTACTGTCATGCCTGCGTTGTTTTTGAAGTAGAGATACACCCCTGTGCACATAACTGGATGTTATATTTGCCTAGGACACAGTGTATAGACTTCCAATGATACCTCACTGGCTATGAAAGGCTTTGGGTCATCTTGATGACATTAAAGATTCTGTGTAATTGCATGTTCATTCTTTATGGTCTGCCACAAACTGATATTGCAGGCTGGCGTGTGAGCTTTATCCTCGCTTCCTGTAAGAAAGCGCCTTGTGAATTGCTGTTTGCTCAATATGAGGGGAAGGTGTGAATCTGAATGACCAGTAAACTGATCAGTTTATTAAAGCCTGTTGTCAGTTCACGTACTCTTCCTTAAAATTTAATTAAGGATTTGATAAGGTAGGAGCAGGGATGTTTCCTTTTGTCCGTGGGAAGACTGTAACCAGAGTCCCTAATAAAGCTACTGAGATTTAAGAGAGTGTTCTCTATTACAAGTGATTAGACTTTATAATCAGCTATCGAAGAGAGTGGTGTTTGAGTAGTAAAATTGTATTTGAGGTATCTAGATAAACGCATGATGGAGAAAGGAATCTGAGGATGAGATGATGGCGTGGGAGGAGGTTCATGTGGAAAATAGCTGACAACACGGATCAGCTGGGTTAAACATGCTTCTGGGCTGTAGCTTCTGTATGATTCTGTGCAGTACAATGTAACCCAAGATCTCTACCAGCTGGATGTAACCCATGTTATGAGAAGTACATCCCTGGTCTCTAGTGCCCAATATCAATTTCTTCCTTTCTTGACTAAAGGTACCCTACAAACCTATGGAGAAGTGTCTCACACATGCCTGCGCACGTGCATGATATCTGCACAAGCATTTGGTTACCACAGACCAGCCTAACTGCATGTTTTCCTGTGTTATCACATAGATTATGTTCTGCACTCTGAACACTCACAAAGTGGACATGGACAAACTGCTAGGTGGGCAAATTGGCCTTGAAGATTTCATCTTTGCTCACGTCAAAGGGCAGAAGAAAGAAGTTGAAATCTACAAGTCGGAAGATGCTTTGGGACTTACCATCACTGACAATGGAGCAGGTTACGCATTTATCAAGGTAACTCCTGAAAACATCCTTCTGTGAAATAGTGAGGGTAGAGCCCTGTCTTTGTGTCAATTAAGGAATTGGATTCCCAAGCAATTAAATGAGCTATACAGGTAAAGCTTACGAACGATGAATTTGGACATGTTGGCTTCTAGCATGCATGAAGTCCACATTGCACAGTATTAACTGAGATGGGTAATTAGCTTATGCCTGACTGTGTCTCCTGTCTACAAGAAATTAAGCAAAAAAGACCTTATAATAGGCAGTTCTTCCCGCTACTGAGATACAGCCGATGTTATTGTCTCACCCAAAAGGGAGTTACCTTTGATAGTGTGGCACTCCCTCTGTACAGTGTCTGGGAGTGTCAATCTTGATTTTGTTATGAAGCCTCTGAACTTAATGGGAGCAGGTAAAAACATTATGCCCTGTTGAACCTGCTGCATCAGTATCATCGAGGTTAATCAGGCTTCAATTCCATGTTTATGTCCACCAATATTCCCTAAGATGCCAAAGACCTCTATCCCAGTCTTTGATACATTATACAAAAGAGCATTCTCATTGTTCTGTGGTAGAGAATTCCAAAGATTCCCAATCCACTCACTGAAGAAATTTCTCATCCCTATCCTGAAACTCTGCCCCCTTGTTCGAAATTCCCCAACAACGGAAATGCCTCCGTATGTACCCTGTCAAGCCCCCTTCATTGTCATGAGCTTTTCAATGAGACCATTTCTCATTTCTCCAAACTTCAGAGAATATAAAGCCAATTTATTCAAATCCCATTCAATGCCAGCCCTCTTTGAGGTGGGACTTGATTCCACAGCATTCTGACTTGAATGAGCATGCTACCCACTGAGCCACACCTGACACCAAAAGTGAATTCCCCACCAGAACCATAATTTGGGGATCCACCCAAACCTGAAGGGAGCAGTTAGGCCGGTTTCACAGGCCTAACTGGTACCGATTCTTAAGGGATGGATAAGGTTAGGAAACGTGAAATTTGCTTTTTAGACTTTTTCCAAAGCATAACACACCCCAGAGAGCTGCAAATATTCTGCTTGTCTTAAGGGGTTGTTAACATTATTGAAAATGATGCACCTAGCTAAGAAAAGCTTTTTTCTTTCTTACAAGTCAGTTTTCAAGATTAGCGAGAAAGAAAGAACTTACCTAAGAATTTTTTTAATGATTGAATTGTTGTGATCTGGAATGTGCTGTCTGAAAGGATGTTGGAAGCATATTCAACAGTAACTTTGAAAAGGTAATTGAATGTATACCTGAACAGAAAACAATTAGCTCTACTGGGGTAAAGGAGGAGTTGAGGGACTATTAGGATATTTCATTCAAAGAACCAGTACAGCCCCAATGGGCCAGATGGCTTCCTTCTGTTCATTATTCTGATATTTATCAAGAAAATCATAATAAACTATATTACACTGGGCAAATAGTTGGAAAGAGTTCATTATAAACACCAAAAAAGGCGTCAAATTCACAGTGTTCCTTTTATTTATCTTTGAGCCATGCATCCATCTTTCCAATTTGATGTGCTTAATGCCAATTTGCACGTGGCTCAATTAATATTGAAGAGATTGTCTGTCTGTGAAGTTTTGCCTCTTAATTTGGTGTGTAGCTTATCATACTAATTGTGCAGCACCTCCTCCTTCTGTCCTGCTTCTGTCATTGTCTTTTACATGGTCAACAACGACCGGATCTTCAGTCTCCCACTGCAAGTCCCTCTTCAGCCCTAAGCAGACTTCGCAAACCCTGACTCAGCCATCCGGACCTGCACCCTTTGTTGCAGAGAACAATGTCAGTCCCCATACTATACTGTCCCCTACTGCCACTGCATTCCTCTTTGGTTTTCCCACATTTCTCACATACAGAGATAATACGCATGCCCTACCTGACTGGCTTCCTGAAACAAGGTGTCATTTCTCCTGGTGTCCTCACTTTCATCTAGACAGAACCTCAAACCTGTTAGGCAATTGCAAAAACTGAAATCCGAGTCTTCTGGGTCCCCTTACCTGTCTCAATTTCAATCACAATTTCCTGTCCCTGAGCACTGACCAACTCAAACGAGCCAACTGCAAGAGGTGTGACTGCCTCCTAGAACAAAAATTCCAGGTAATTTCCCCTTCCCGGTGCATTACAGTTCAGCCTCCAATCATAAATGAGTTGTGGCTGCGGGAACTTCAAACACTTGCTGCAGGCATATTTTCTCCTGGACCAAACTGATATTCTGGAACTTCCACATTCTGCAACAGTGACACATCACTTATCCTGCCATCGTCAATGCTTTTCTCAGGAACTACTTAATTATTTCATTGAATTTTATATTTAGTTATGTTTTATATATTACAGGGAGATGGTAGCATAGTGCTACTGTCGCTGGACTAGTAATTCCAGGCTAATATTCTGAGAACAAGGGTTCTAATACTGCCACGGCAGATGGTGAAATTAGAATTCAATAAAAATCTGGAATTAAAGTTAGTGTAATGGTGACCATGTAACTGCTGTAGTAAAAAGCCAACTGTCTCTCTAATTTTTTTTTAAGGAAAGAAAATTATCATCTTTACCTGTTCTGGCCTCCATGTGACTCCAGACTAACAGCAATGTTGTTGACTATCAACTGCCCTTTGGGCAAAAGGGCTGTGCAATAAATGCTGGTCAAGTCAGAGGCACAATTTACTAACGTTAGTTACCCATAGTTGCTGTGTTATTTTGAACCTTAGGAATAGAATAAACCTTAATCACTGACCATGTAGTCACCAAATAACCAGCTTCTTTTCCTGTAGCAGAGTACAAATTAATTCCTGAGGCTGGAAAATTTAGCAAAAGGCAAATGCAGCAGCTCATGTCATTCCCTTCCTTCCCTTAACTCAAATCACTTAACATTGGCACACTATTTTAAGTTGGCTAGCTTTATAATCTCCTAAGACAAAAAGCCTATCTGACACACTTAATGAGGATCCAGTTTTAGCTTGTTCTGGAATAAGTTGTTCTTTCATTGTACCCCAGTGTCATGCAATGGCAGAGGTCCTGTCCCCGAGTCACCATCCATCTCTGTAGGGTGATTATAGTCAGTACCATCGGTACACCCCAGAGCAAAGGGTTCAAAAAATCTTTAAATTCACGTTCTCCTCAACACATCCCTGGTAACGAGTCTGACAGTACATACAATGGAGGTATGAAACAGCAGCCTCCCTTTAAAAACTGTGATTTAATTGCCAGAGAATCAAAGAAGGAAGCCTCATTGACCGAATAGAGGCAATCAAGGTTGGGGATCTTATTGAGTCGATCAATGGTCAGAGTGTCATCGGTTTTCGCCACTTCGAGGTTGCCAAGCTGCTGAAAGGTTTGGTGAAGGGACAGCTGTTTACACTGCGTCTTGTGGAGCCTCTTAAGGCTTTCGGTGAGTCAACAGCTCTCTTCTGTAAGTAGAATGTTACTTGATTCTGCAGAGTTCCTTACTCTCGCTCTTTTTTTCTCCCTAGTAACTCCATACCTTTCTGAGCTAATATCCCAAAGGCTTCCCGTCTCCAAGGTTTGTTTTCTCCTGAGCCCGTACGCTTGATGTCAATCCCATGAAAACAAGTGGCGCCTGCCCTTTTCTGTACATGAACCCCCATCTTCCCACACACTCATCGAATCACTTTCTCTTCAGAAGCATATTTTCTTAAACCCGTGATAACGTTCCCTTTTCATCTTTTAAAGGTACTTAATTCCACAACTTTGTGTGAAACAGTCTTGACATTTTTTCACCATCCTAGCTGACTAGATTTTACTTCAGCAGTCCACATTTGGCCCAAACAGACTTTGCAGGTGTTTGTTCCATATGAAACACCCCATTATCTTCTGTCCCTGTGTTCTAGCTGATTCCTCTTCTGTACTATTCACCACCTCTACTTGTGATTTTCACAGTTTCAGCATTTTCTGGGCAAAGAATCTGGCTTCAATATGGGAAAGTAGCCTTTTGTGATGTTTATGATGCCACAAGATCTATTATAAAACAGCTTGCTGTCTGTCCTTTCAAGCAATGTAAAATCTCATGGTACTTGTAATTCTAATGATAAATGAGTATCCTTTTCCTAAACTGCAAAGAGTTTTGTGGGGAGCTTCTAGTTCAGCGTAAGTTGCAAAAGTGGCTAGAGCTTTCATCCAGTGCAGTCATTGCATAAAGAAAGCCTTGCATTTCTACAATACCATTCGGAACCCCAGGATTTCTCAAAACACTTGATAGCTAATGAAGTGCTTTTGAAATGTAGTTGCAGTTATGACATAGGAAATGCAGCAGCTAATATGGGGCACAGCAAGGTGCTCCAAACAGCAATCATAAAATAACTAGATAATTTCTTGTAAAAGAAATTAACGGAGGTGTAAATGATTTCATATGATTTCAGGGAGCAACCCTCTGCTGTTCAGTTAAATAATGCTGCAAGATCTTCTGCATCCATTTCAGTGGGCGAGGTGGATGCCGTGTTAATGATTCATCTTTCAGATGAGGCACCTGTTCTAGTATTGCACTGGAACTAGGCCCGTGGATGGTGGAGATGGCAGTCTGTAAGCTAGTGTGACTGCTCTGAAACCCCAAATTTTTGTATTTATCTTGGGAATTTTAATGTGACAGGAAAGTCTGCAAATTCCCATGTACTCGGCCTTAGAAAATGCAATGTGATTAATAATACTCCTTTATTTCTAAAGATTGCTATGTGCAGTTTTACTGAAGACTGACCAGCAGGTGGGAGTGTAGCACAAGTCTAGGGTGGGGAAAAAAATAAGTGACTGTGAGCCGAAGAATCTTTAAACAATTAGCCTTTTAAAATTTCTGTTCGAACAAAATCAACTGCACGTTTACTAGCATCTTTAATGTGCTGAGCCATCCCATTTGCTGTATGGGAGCAATTTATCATGGCAAAATTTGTTACCGAGCCATTGGGACAAAAGACCTGATCAAACATATAGATCTTGACTAATGTCCTCAAGGTGAAAGGATTTATGGAGGAAATTCTGAAGCTTGGGATGCCCTCCTATACTTTTCATTTTGCCACATTGGTGGCTGAGCCTTTGGCTGTCTGGGCCCTGACCTCTTGAATTTCCTGTCTAAACCTCTCTGCCACCCTTTTCTGCTTTTAAGGCACTCCATAAAATCCATGTCTCAGCTCTGGTTATTACTGGACAAGTCAGATTCTAGATTGAAATTTGGTTTGATAGAGCATATATGTTTTATTGAACATAGTTTTTAACTGAAACACAAGCAACAGATCTGGTTTTATTAATGAAACAGAAGTTTATTCTGCGAAAGAAAGGAAGATAAAATGGACTCAACCAAACTATCTACATACGCAATGTAAAAGCTGAAACATGGTAAACTACACAGCACTTCTTTGTAGTACTAGCACTAAAAATATTCGGTCAGAGTCATACAGCATGGGAACAGACTCTTAAGTCTGACTTGTCCATACCATGTTTTGACCTGTAAGATGCTTCAGTTCCCACTCCTAAAAATCTCATAGTCTCCTCTTTGAGCCTCATATAACTGAGCTTAGACTTTCTCAGTGTCACTTAACCGCTTGCTGGTCTAAAACTTCTAAACTAAACTCCTTACACTGAAGTAACTTGTTAACAGTTCTAAACTATTTCACTTTCTCAGGAACAACAACATCAAGCCTCAGCTGAGACTTTGCAAAACTGTTGAACTGAAACTGAAAAGCTTTTTTCAAGCTAATCAAAAGTAAAAGATGAATCTTGGACCTCCTAAACTGAAAGCCTGATGCACAACTGTTTACTTTGCTAAGCTGTAAAAACTCTCCCGGTATAAATGCATTTCCATTATCCTCAAAGAAGCATCTTTTGTAGATTGAGTATGTTTTTTAAAGAAATCTCCATGGCTGCAATAATACTTAAGTTAATCATTAAAACCTTTAGACACGTGGACCAAAAAGCACATGCCATTGGCTCAAATCTGAAGTATCTATATTATAATATCATTTTATAAGTTGCACCTTGCATCTCACCTCTCATACTGTCTCCTTGTGTGGCTCTGGTATATTCTGTTTGATAACGGTACTGTGAAATACCATAGTACATTTTACTGCATTAAGGATGCCATGTGAATAGTAGTTTTATGTATGTAAATCAATTTTGGAATCATTCCCCTTTAATAAACCAACTGTTATATCCCATTGTTATTCATTGTCACACTGTCCCAACTCCTCAAACTTGCCTTTCTCAGTCATGTTTCACTGCAGTCTGTAATTTTCAAATAGCCAACAAGAGACTTGCTCATATTGTAAGCAGAGGCCTGCTTGATTGACAAATATCCATGCTATGAGGAGCTTTTGCTCTGTCCAGCTGTGGTCAATGGTGTGTATAACCTGCAAAAGCACTGCAGCAACTCACCAAGCCTCCCGTTTGACAATGCCTTCTAAACCCAAATTCCTTCTAGAAAGGCAGTGTCAGTAGATGTGTAGGGACACCATCATCTGTAAGTTCATCTTCAAGCCACACACCATTCTGACTTGCAACAGTATCGGCGTTTCTTGACTGTCACTGAATCAAAATCCTGGAACTCTCTTCCTAACAGCACTGTGGGTTTCCCTGCACTAGGTGGGTTGCAGCAGTTCGAGGGCTGTTCACTACAACCTTTTTTCTCAAGGTCTGCTAGTGATAACCAGTCCTGCCAACAGCACCCATATCTGGGGAATGAATTAAATAGCAACTTGTTTCAATCTTCCTTTCTCTGGTGATCCTTGAGCACCGAGCTCTGAAGTTTGAAAGTGTTTTGATCTGAAGGCCTGTCCTGTGGGATCTCTAGATGACATTTGAGATTCAGCTTGATGGTTGACGCTCACCTGCCTTTGTTTCTCCTGCAGACATGATAGGCCAGCGTTCCAGAGGAGGCAAATTTGCATCTGGTGGGCAGGTGGGCACTGGAAAAGGAACACTACGACTGAGGGCAAAAGGCATTGCTACTGTGGAGGATGAGGTAAGCTGATGGCTTGTAACCTGTATCTAGTGAAGCACTTCAGGGAAATGTTACTAGCTAAAAGCAACTTTTTAGACTGGGGTTTATTCATCACGTAGCACACACACTATATCTAATCTTTTCACCATGTCTCACTCTGGTTCAGATGACCAATTGTTGGTTGGGGATTTTGCCTGTGGCCTGTGCCCATCCCTGTCAAGGTCTGTTGTTATGCTTACTGATTTCACTCCACATTAGATTTCTATAGTCCTGGTCCTAGTTAATGTAAATAGAATTAAGCCCAGTTCCCAGGGCAGAACATCCATGAATTGATAAAACCGTGCCATGTTTCACTGACAGTTGACCTTTATGACATAGAACAATGAAGTGAATGGATTTGAAACAATTTCCTGGCAGCCAACTTTGAGTTAAAGCTGTTGATTGCGTTGATCCTCCTGTACAACCTGAGACACATGGGCTGGCAGGAGACTAATTGAGCAGTTGATGTTTCACAGGTGGAGGGAGTTGACAAATAGGATAAGAAAAGTAAAAGCTGCAGAATAGGAAAGTGCCCAAGTTCTCCTTATGGCAGTCAGGGCTTCAAGTAAATACTTTCATTTGGAAAATAATATTGTTTTGATTGCTCTACTGGAGATGAGAATGTCTGAGCCAGTTATTTGTTTATCTGGAGAATTTAGTTTAAAAACAGCCATGGTGACATTCTAAAGCTTGGCTGTATATGGTCACAGTTGCACAAAGGAAACAGTTGGAAAACCAAGATCAAAGTGCTGTAAGAGGTGGCAGGAAGTCAAAGTTCAGATTTGGCTAACCTGGCCTGGACCTTCCTTGTTGATTTTCATGCTAGACACAATTGCTACCGGATCAGGAATTTTAAAGTTAATGGGAGTTACCAATTTTCCATTGGAGAATTTGGCCCAAATGCCAATAGGCTAACCTCTGATAACAAGAGAAGTACTTGAACGGAAAAGACATAAACTCTTTGTTTGATAAATTTCTGTTGGGCAAAGATATTAAGTGATAGAGATCCAAGGTGAATCGATGGATTCTAGACAGAAATGGACAGTTACAGAGATGTACAGAATGGAAACAGACCCTCCTGTTCAACTCCTCTATGATAGCTAGGTATTCTAAATTGAACTAGTTCCATTTGCCTGTGTTTGGCCCACGTCCTCCGAAACATCTTCTTTCCATATACCTATCCAAATGCCACGAAGCCTTGGCTTTTTAACTGTTGTAGAAGTCTCAGCAAGGCAATTAACTAATGCAGCGCAGTTTAACCTGTGCTGAGTAAATAGCTTCCTTTATCTAAACATGGCTGACCACCCTGAAGGAAAGTATACCAATTAATTCTGATCATCAGGCTAACTTACGTTATACTTACCACAAATTAGGAATTGGTTTAATGAACATGCTTAACTACATGAAGGTACTTTGGCTTTAAGAGGTATATATTGTCCTTATATTGGTTTTATTTATAAATGAAGGAAGGTTGAGACAGAGGTAGCAAGCAGTCTGCTCAAAACCAATGAAGTAAACAGCTTGTGAGGCCTTGGGTTTTTAAAGTTGGAACAACAGAAGAGGCATGAATGGGTGGAGTCAAGCTCTCACAGAACCAGGATTTTTAGTTTTAGCTTTCTGCAATTTCTGGGATCTTGAAGCTGGATGTGGAAGCTCTTGGTCCTCTCTTACAGCTAAAAGCTGGTGTTCTCTTCCTGCTACTAGAATTGCATGTCAGACGATCTGTTTTACTGAACTTGCCTTTGCCAAGGCTGTGTTTATGGGATGTTGCTATATTGGAACAGTTAATTAGTATTAGTTTGACCAGTTGAATTGCATCTGGAACGCAGTGCCTTATACTTAGCCTAGACCTTAACTTTTTCTTATTTTAAAGGTATCTTAATATATTTTGAGGTGGCTTGGTCTAGTCCGTAATAACTCTACATTAAATAGAATAGCATTTACTATAAAGCACACAGGCATGACTGACTTATACTGGTATTTATGCTTCATAGCAAGCGCGCCCCACTCCATTCCATGACACATTGTTCTCCCTTCTCCTTTGTGTTGCTTAACTTGATGCATTTCACTCAATTAAAAAGTAATGCGTTTTCATTTAACTTGTTTTGGCTCATAAATGTAGTGTGTTGTTTTGACTTCTGTCAAGCTTGTTCTGTTGAAAGGATATTTTCCCTGTTGACCCCTAAGAGCTCATTTGTTAACCCACTCTGATATTGTCCAGTTGTTGAGCTTTAATCTGTCTGCTGACCTCTTCTAGCAAAAGAAGTGCAAATGACAGAAATACGCAACCAAATATTGCCTTCTGAAAGAAACCTGGGTTAATGCTTTCAGTGTGACCCTTCGTCAAAATATGACATGAGGATCTCTGAAATGTGTCGTTGTGACTTTTTATTATTGTTAATTTTTCTTGCAGGTGGCTGATGTAAATTGCCTGGTACCCGATCTCTTATTGTACAGTTTTGGATCAATATAAATGCTTTGGAGGAGGCAAAATGCACAAGGGAAACCAAGGAGAGAGGAAAAACAACCTTGCTTTTAGACATATTCTTTCACAGCCTTATCTCAAAGTACTTTACACCTAACTATTTAAGTGTGGTTACTGTCGTAATGTTGGAAGTGTAATAGCCAATTTCTGCACAGGAAGCTCCCACATGTTAGAATATGATACAACAGGAAAACTAGTGTTGTTGGTTGCTGGGTGATTATCGGCCAGGACATTAGGAGAAGTACCTTACTCTTTGTTGACTATGACATCTTTTACTTCCATAGGGCAGAAGGAGCCATACCGTAATGAATTATTTTGTTCCACAGTGAACACAGAATAAATAAATGGACTGAGTAGCCTTCGTCTGCCAGCATTATCTCATGTAGTCTGTTGGGTGGATGGTTTTACGATTAGCTTGTGCTTCAGACGTACAGTATAGAGTAGTGGTTTTTTGTTCCATCTACAAAATAATAATTGGAGGAAAAAGCTGGTGACATTTAAATTTGACACATAAATTTGTTTCCTGGACCAGTTTTCATAGTGTTGGCTTTTTGTTCTTGTTTAATGACTTACTCCAAATGCATGCTTTGTTGATCCTAGCCATCAGCATTTGAAGAGAAGGCCATTGAGAAGGTGGATGACCTGCTGGAAAGCTACATGGGGATCAGAGACACTGAGCTAGGTGAGTAAGACACTGGTGTTTAATTTAACACCCTAATATTTCTAAATATTGAACCATGCTTCTGACATGACTTAATGCTGTTGATCTGTTGCAGTTTGACTGACTTTTGCATTGTATGCTGGAAATTAATTGCTTCAAGGTTTCCAAACTGCAGTACTGCATTATTGTAGTGTAGACAGCATTGACAGATGGACCAGATAGCATGATACACTAGGACTGTGCTTGTAAGGCTCTTCTGGTGCGCTGGAAGTATCCCTTCTTCAATGCCAAATGGTCAGATTTAAGTCCCATCCGCTTGGATGTGTATCATATTATGTCTGGACAGGTTGATTTTAAAATAACTAGATCTGTGCTTGCAAACCAAAGGCTAATTGAACAGTATAACCAGAAGGTCATTCCCTGCTCAGAAACCATTGTCATTGTTTTAAAATCCCTCTATGGTCTTGGCTTCTTGCTGCTTCTGTAACCTCTTTCAGTCCTACTGAAAATCTCAAAATATCTGTATTCCTCAAATTTCAGACCTGTTGCATACCCTCTCTTTTACCTCTTCACTACTTATAGCTATAATTTTAGTGGCTGGGCCCTGAGTTCTGAAATTGCCTCATTAAACCTTCCTACTACTCCTTCCTTCCTTTTCGTATTTGATTTGGTTTTATTGTCACATGTACCGAGATTCAGTGAAAAGTGGTGTTTTGCGTGCTCTACAGGCAGATCATGCCATACAACGTGCATCAGGTAGCAGAACAGAGTGCAGAATACAGTGTTACTAACAGAAGATGCAGGAGAGAGATCAGCATTAACATTTGAGAGGTCTGTTTAAAAGTCTGATTAACAGCAGGAAGAAGCTGTTCTTGAATCTGTTCATATGTGTTTCAAACTTTTATATCTTCACCCTGATGGAAGAAGGTGGAAGAGAATATAACCAGGTTGGGAGGGGTCTTTGATTAATTTGGTTCCTTTTTCAAGACTGTGAAGAATAATTGGAGTCAATGAATGGAAGGCTGGTTTGTATGATGGACTAGCTGTGTTCACGTCTCTGTAGTTTCTTGCGATTTTGGGAAGAACAGTTGCCATACCACACCGTGCTGCATCCATCAGATACTTCCTGTGATGCATCTATAAAAATTGGTACGGGCCTTTGTGGACATGCCAGACTTCCTTAGCTTTCTGTGGAAGTAGAGGCATTATTGTGCTTTCTTGAATGTCATGTTGATGTGGGTGCACTAGGGCAGATTGTTTATGATCATCACTCCCAGGAACCTGATGCTCGGGAACCTGATGCTTGAACCTCAACACCTGAACCTCAGCACCATTGATGCAGACAGGGGTGTGCCTTCCACTCCACTTGCTGAAGTCAATGACCAGCTCCTTTGTTTTCCTAATGTTGATGAAGAGATTTTTGCCTTTAGACCATATTGCTAAGCACTCAATTTCTTTCTTGTGCTCTATCTCGTCATTGGTTGAGATCTGCCCTATAATGATGGTATTGTCAGCAAACTTGAAAATGGAGTTGGGGTGGAATTTTGCTATGCAGTCATGACTGCATAAGGAGTATAATAGGGGACTGAGTATGCAGTCCTGTGGGGCACCGGTGTTGAGGATTATGATGGAGGAGGTGTTGTCACCTCTTCTTACTGACTGCAGTGTATGGGTCAGGAAGTCAAGGATCCATTTATAGAGAGGAGAGCCGAGATCTAGGTTTCAAAGTTTCGAGTTGAGTTAGTTTGGAATTGTGTTGAAGGCAGACCTGTAGTGAATAAATAGGAGCCTGACTTGGGTATCAGATGCTCCAAGGATGAGTGTAGGGTCAGGGAAACGGTGTCTGCCATGGACTAGTTGAGCCAGTAGGCGAATTGCAAAGCATCGAGGTGGTTGGTAGGCTGAAGTTGATGTGACCCATGACTACCTCTGGTAGCACTTCATAATTATGGAGGCCAGAGGCACTGGGCAGTAGCAGTTGAGGCAGCTGCATGATCGCTCTTTGGCACCGGGGTGGTGATGGTCTTTTTGAAGCAGGTGGGGATATCACATTGTAGTAAGGAGAGGTTAAAGATGTCTGTGAATCGTCTATGCACAGGATCTAAGTGCACGGCTGGGGTCTCCATCCAGGTTAATCGCTTTCCATGGGTTCGTTCTCAAGAATTCCACTCTGACATCGGTGACTGTGGCTACGGGTGCATCCGAGGCTATTAGGACAGGTGACATCGTTGTGGTCACTTTCTGTTCAAAGCAAGCATAGAAGGCACTGAGCTCAACGAGTGGGCATGTATTTTTGCCTATGATTCTGATCGACTTAGTGTTTTGTAGCTTATGTTGTGTAAACCTTGCCACAAACGACAGGTGTCCGTGTGGTTAGCCTGGGTTTCAGTTTAGTTTGGTATTGCCCCTTGGTGTCCCTGATGGCCTTACGAAGGTCATACCTGGATTTCTTGTATAGGTCAGGGTCGCACAACTTGAATGCCTCAGACGTGGGCCTCAGTAGGGAGTGGATCTCCCAGTTCTTCCATGGTTTCTGTTTGGGAAACATTTGGATTAACATCTTCAGCATGCAGTCTTCTACACACTTACTAATGAAGCCTGTAACGGTAATGGCATACTCGTTTAGGTTAGTCGCTAAGTTCTCTAATAAGGATCAGTCCGCTGACTCTTAAACAGTCTCGTGGAAGCCCTTCCGTTGCCTCAGACCAGCACTGCACTACTATCTGTATTGGGTCATCACTCTTCAATTTCTGCTTGTAAGCTGGGAGGAGGAGCGCAGCATTGTGATCTGATTTTCCAAACCGTGGATGGGGGATGGAGCAATAGGCATTTTGGTTGTATAGCAATGGTCGAGGAAACAAAATACCAAAATATGCCCCTTAAATCCTGCTTATTTGATCAAGCTTTTGGTGGTTGTAAACCCGAATATGTGATAAAATGCCAAATGTGATTAAATTGAACATGATTATAGATGGTGAGCTAGGATTCCTCCACTACTAGCTGACCCTCCCCTTTGATCATAAGCTTATGCGTTTACATCCTCAAAGTTGAGCTTTCCTTTCCAGTCACTTGCTTTCATCATGCTGCTCGTCCTGGAATAGATTCCTCAGTTGACCATGCCGCCCTTGGTCTCGTGTCTGTGTCCTCTCCTCATGCAGTTCCAATCCTTTTCATCGGTTTGCCTTCTCCGACCCTGTTCCTCCAGATCCTGTATCTATGAAGAGCATTCAGCTGTAACACTCTGCAATTTAATTCTAGACTCCCAACCTGGATGCATCTCCACCCAGGAAGTGTCGGGATATTTCACTATGTTTAAATGTACAGTGTAGTTTGGAATAGATGGTCTAAATTTGGGTGCTGCTTGAGGAATGTTCTAGTGTGGGATTTGGCTGGGATTGAACTTTCCTTCTTTGCCCCGGGGATCGTGGTAATTAACCACTACGATCAGATAAATGTGTTGAATGGACTAAAATCTGTGGTACTATCAACTTAATTATGTTGATGGCTGCTAAGATTCCTGTCACAGGTAGCCAGTAATTTTGTAAGCTTATGTCTGAATCCTTTGGTTTCAAAACATTGGAAGGTGCTATGGATAAAATATTCAATATTTTATTAATAAGTTCCCTTCTTCAGAGGAGTGTACAGAGAAAGGAATTTGCGCACAGATCCTACCTGTATGTTTCTTGGCAGTTGCCATTGTAGATAATATCTAGTTTCTCAATTATTGCTGTAAATTTCTAATTCCGGCAGTGCCTTGTTATCAACACCAAAAATAGTTTGTATGACCATTCAGCTGCGTTAAAATATTTATCAGATTTCTGAAAATATTTTAGGAAATTTAGGAATTGAAAGCTCATTTGTTTGTTTTTTCACTTCAAAATAACTTTCCTAATTTGGTATGGTTGTTTGAGGTTTTTAGTTGTTAGCTGTGTTTTCCTTCACTAAGGCTTGATGGAGGAGCTTAACTATTTCCATTGCAGTCTTAACATATCTGTGCTAGGGTGGGGCCAACTCGGGTTTTAAACCAATTAGTTTTTGGCATGATGTGTTAATAGCAAATATTATCAGCATTCCAAAGCACCCCACAAAGAGGACTGCTTTTAAGTGTATTGGCTGTTGGATAGGAGCCATCCTGTTCACAGTAGACACCAAGCTGTAGTTTTCCTGGTTGTTGTGAAGGCAATGTTGACCAACACATTGGACCAGGGAGAGAAGACTCCTAGTTCATCATCTATAATCCTGCCCGGTTTAACCACAACAACATGGACATGCAACATCTCATTCCAGGTTGGCCAATTCTATCTATGAATAATGCATTCCAGTCCTGAAGCAATGTTTTGAGCATTTGGTCTTTTAACTTGGCCAAGCTTGTTACCAGCTAAGCTAATCCTGAAAACAGGATTGGAAAATTGGTCGAGCCACATACTGCAACACCACCTGCACCCCCCTTTACTGTTAGCGTATGATAATGTTCATAAAACAAAGATTTTCCATTTCTAGGTCCAATAAACTCGGTGGATGGATCTAAATCGTGAGAAAACTTTTAAATTTAGTTTTGTTTCTTTTCAGACCGCTCAGAAACTGGCTGGTTCCCCAGTAATTTCTAAGCCAAGTTTGTGGTTTGCCACCAGCATTGATTCTTTTGTTACGTCACAAATGACCAGCAATGTAATACTGAAAACCAGTGCAATGGATTGATCTATAGTCACTTTCGTTTTAGGACTTCAGAAAGAAAATTCAGTGTTTATAATTATATGGGATCATTTATGTAATTTGTATCTTTCTCCCTCTCTTCCTCTCCTTCCAATCTTTTCATGTGCCAGTTCTCAAAAGTGTAGTTTTAGTTACCATTTTTGAGAATGCCAGGATTATGTTTTGACAAAGTCTAAAAGGCAACTTGCATGTTTGCTAACCTTACCCATCCTTAAAGAGTACTAGTAAGGCCTGTGAAACCTGCATAAGTGCTCCCTTTAGGTCTAGGCAGATCCCCAAATCGATGTTTAGGAAATGTTTGAATTTACTTCTAGTATCAAGTGTGATTCATTGGATAGCATGCTCATTCCAGTCAGAATGTTGGGGAATCAAGTCCCATCTCAGAGGGCTGGCATTGAATGGGATATTAAATAAATTGGATTTATATTCTCTGGAGTTTGGAGAAATGAGAAGTGGTGTCATTGAAAAGTTCATGCTAGTGAGGTGGGCTTGACAGGGTATACACTGAAGTGCTTCCCCTGTTGGAAATCTAGAACAAGGGGTGAGAGTTTCCGGATAAGGGGATAATCACTCGGGATAAAGATGAGAAATTTCTTCAGTGAGTGGATTGTGAATTTTTGGCATTCTCTTAGACCCAGAGGGTTGAGGATACTCCATTGCATAATATATCGAAGGCTGGCATAGAGAGATTTTTCATGTCTCAGGGCATATTCGTGGGCAGAATTGAAGCCTGATCAACCATGATCATACTGAACAATGGAGCAGGTTGAACAAGGCATATGGTTTTCACTGGCTCCTATTTCCCTTTAGTTTAGAGGCTTCAGAACAGGATGGTCCCAGACACATTGTACAGAGGGAGTGCCACACTATCAAAGGCCTTTTGTGTGAGACAATAAACACAACTATACCTTAACAGCAGAAAGCATTGTGTTACAGGGAGCATGTCGTTAATTTCCTCGCATATAGTTCAGCACACAAAGACACTTACAAGAGGTTTTAGATAAATGTGTAGCCTGCTACACTGTCAGTGATGTTAATCCCAAAGCATCTTCTGACTTGTAACGTTTCCACTTCTTTCTTCTGTCTTTGACATGAACGAAGATGATAACTTTGAGTCCAATCTGCCCGTTTGGAAGTTTGTCTGTGTTCCATCTTGAGAGTGTTCAGGGTGCAGAACATAATCTATGGGATAAAACAGGAAAATGTGTAGTTTGGCTGGTCTGTGGCAACCAAATGTTTGTGCAGGGTATTGACAAAAGTCTGTGTCTCTGTGCCTTGAGGGGCAAGAGGGTTTTTCAAAACTTGCCGCTGACATAAGGTTACATCCAGCTAGGTGAGGTTTTGGGTTACATTGTACTGTGCAGAATCATACAGAAGTTACAGCATAGAAACAGATGTTCAATCCAGCTGGTCCATTTTGTTGGTTAAACTCCACATGAACCTCTTCTCACCCCACTGGCTTATGCTTCGATTCCTTTTTCCCTCGTGTGTCCAGCCTCTTCATAACTATTCTTTACAATTCCCCTCGACCATTCTCTGTAGTAACAGGTTACAAATTTCAGTCAGTCTTGTGATAAAGAAATTTCTCTAGAATACTGGATTTATTAGGGACTATTGTTATAGTCTTCCTAGTGACAAATGGAAACATCTCTGCACCTACCTTTATCCTTTATTAAATTTGAAGAGTACATGAACTGATGCCAGACTTTTGATAAACCACTAATTTCACCCATTATTCCAGAATGCTTCACCTTTTGGAAAAAAAATCAGAATTTGGTTTAGTCTAGAATGAAAGGATAAAGTCCCCATGTTAGCGTGTGACGATTGACCACAAAAGAGGAACATGTAATTACACAGCATCTTTGATATCATCAAGATGGCTCAGTCATTCACGGACAGTGAAATCTTTTCACTGTATAGCATTTAGTTTAAAGTACGCTGGCAGACTTCAGTGAGTGTGTTTTCTAAAACAAAATGGAGTTAAATTTTATCGAGCTAGGTTACATGCTGGGATCTGACTTATCACTGTCAGTTGAGATTATAACCCAAGTCATGGAATAGTGGTTCTGAACAAACATCCTGGCTGTGTGAGGTGAAGGATTTTTTTGTTAGAATACATACTGGCCTATTTGGTGGGTATGTAATCAATGTTCATGCGACAATGGCTGTTTGCATTCTGCGATGAAGAGAAAAGAAGTGATGTAGTGCAAGGCAGCAAATAAAATGAGCACTGAAGATAAATGGTTTGGTATTAACTAAAGTTATACTTTTCTAGTGGGGAAATATCAGTTGTGAAATCATTCCCTCAACCTTAAGCTAGGTAGTTATTAACTTACAGGACTGGGAATAAAGTTGATAGTTTCACAAACCTAACGATTCCAGATGTCCAGAAAAATTCTGGAATTTTTAGGTGACATTAACAAAATATCCCTTCCAGTATCCCCAGCCTCAATTTTTCCATTCAATTAGTCTGCAAGGGCATCTCCCAAAAGTTCTGAAACTTTGACTCAGTATTTTGAGGGCAAAGGCTGTGTTTGGAAATTAGGAGAGTAGAGCAGTGCTTAAAATGTTTGTTGAGACAAACTTGTGATCTTCAAAAGTGATTTTCTAAAGAGATTATATGTTACAAAACCTCCTGGAAGGGCCCTTGGGATATAGTTTCAAGGAAAGTTCACAAAACAAGATAGGATCTTATCGGCATGCATATATCTTGCTTCCTTCTCAATCCTATAACAGTAATGTGTAATCAGTAAGATCGACCCACATTTAAGACCAAAATGTTTTGTTTTTTTTTT